CCTTCGGGAGAGAACCCTCTGCGGCCAAGCCCGAGGATGATCGCTACCTGCGGGCAGCCATCCAGGAGTACGACAACATTTCCAAGCTGGGGCAGATCATGCGGGAGGGACCCATCAAGGTGAGTGATGAGTGCGGACATCCTCCACTGAGGGGGTCTTCTCCTACCACTATGGCTTCCAGGTTCACGGCTGCAGCACTGGAGGGTGATGTTGCTCCAAAAAATGCTGGGATGAGGCCAGCCTCCCTCTGACTAAACCATCTCCCTTGGGTAACCCATCATCTCTCCCCCTCCACCCAGGGTTCTCTCTTGAAGGTGGTCCTGGATGATTACATGCGCTTGAAAAAACTCTTTGCCCAGCGGATGGTGCATAAGGCCACCGCCAGTCAGGGGGACCGCTCCTCGGTCTCAGAGGTAGAGGGGTTGTGCATGGGCGTGGGGAGATGCTTGCTGTGCCCTCTGGGATGCAGTGTGTCTTCCTGACCCCTCAGGCTGCGTTTGCTCCCTGTAGCCACTGTCCCTGTCACCCAGTGGTACCCCCATTTTCTGCTTGGCCAAAATGAACCAGACACTGGTTTTCCCCTGAGGCTGCCAGTTCCCCACAGTGCCCCAGCTCTTGTGACCTACTGTGTTTCCTCTGCCCATCAGCAGCACCTTCTCTCTCCATCTCTTCCATCCTGGGGGAAGACACCCCTCTTTGCAGGGTGGGGTCTGTCCATCACCTTCACGTCTCTGTGAAGGCTGGCCAAGAAGCTGCGGGTCCCTGCACACATGCGGGGATGTCTTCCCTCTGCTCTTCTGAGCTTATTTTTGCCTGAGGTTTTTCAAGCAAAAAGGCTAGGACAGAGGGTTTTGGTGCAGGAGGGCTGGTGTGGGGAGAAGCAGCTCTTCCCACAGCCTTTCGCCTCTTCATGGGTGGCAAAACATAGCACAAACAAAGCAGAGGAGAGCAGTGGGATGGGAAGACACCTTTTAGCCCTTCTGCCCCCCATCACTTCTCGCCCTTATCCCCCCTCCAGCCTTCCTTTGGCACCTTTCCTTGTCTGCCTCCTGCCCCACCACCCTCATACAACCCTCAGTCCCAACCAAGTCCAAAACCCTGACTTGGCCACTGCGGGGGCTGCTGCGGGACACACCACCCAGCTGACAGCTTGTGCCTGAGCCAGGGTGCCACCTGACAAGTGAGCGATCCAGCTGGAGATCATCGTGCTGGTGATCCTCATCACCATGCTCTGAGGTTGCTTCAGAAGAGGAGGGTCCCTTCCCTTCCGCTGGGCTCCAGCTTTGCAGGAGATTTGGAGGCAGGGAAGCCAGGATCTGGTCTGGTCATGGTGGTGATTTCCCACTCACCACAGACCTTTTGCAGCTGATCCAGAAGGAGCTGGAGGAAGAGGAGGAGCGGAGCCCCAGCCAAGGCAGCCTCCGCTTCCGACACAAGCAGCCAGTGGAGCTGAAAGGTCCTGATGGCATCCACGTGGTGCACGGCAGCACAGGCACGCTGCTCGCCTCTGACCTCAACAGCCTGCCCGAGGATGACCAGAAGGTCCTGGGTCGCTCGCTGGAGACTCTGACCACTGACTGCGGGGGCTACAGTGACCACAATGCCCGCACTGAGTCGGCCAAGTCCACCCCCCTGCACAAGATGCGAGAGGTGATCATGGAGAGCCCGCTGGAGATCACTGAGTTATGACAAGCAGCGGTGGTGGTGGTGCTCCTCTAGGCAAGCTGGGCCAGCAGGGATGAAGCACAGACCAGGGGGGCCGTGGTGGGGGCTGGGGGCACCCCAAGACCAGCACTTGCCCCCCCCTTCCCCTGCAGAAGGAGTCCAGGCCAACCAGTGCCGTTCACTCTGGTGGCCTTGGAGAGCTTGGCCCCAGGAAAGGGCTCTCAGGACCGGTATGCTTTTACTCACCTGTCATTTATCCATGAAAGCATTAATTTTTTTTTTTCTTATTAAAAAAAAGGGGTTTTTTTTAAAAAAAAAAAAAAAAAGAAAAAGAAAAACTAAATGAATCAACGAGTTCAGACTGGACAGGGGTGAAGGTGCAGTGAAGATGTGGATGATGTGCTGCTGCAGCATCCCCAGGCACAGGCTGGGGACAAGCAGCCCATCACACCTCGACCACGGGCACGGGGAGGTCCAGGGCAGTGCAGGGAGAAAATGAGCCCATTTGGCATTAATGTCACCTTTCCAGAAAGTAAAGACCCCAAAAAAAACCCAAACTGAAGACATTTCTCCATTTTGCTGGCTTTATCAAAACACGTGGTGATGTCGAAAAAGAGAGCGAGACTGACAATAACTGGGGTTTCTGGATGTGGAGTGCTCGTGTGTGTCTTTTCTTGCCCTTTTCTTTCCCCTTCTCTCTTGCTTTCAGGTTTGTTCGTTTGGGGGTTTGTTTCCCATCATAACCTTGTGGAGAGTTTCGGGCATAGTCTATTACGGGACTCAGAAATACACTGTCTATGGCTTTGGGTAACATGTCTGTCGTCTTTCCTCCCCAACTGCACTGGTTTCATCATACCCAACTTCCTTTTGAAGAGAAAAGCCCCTTTTTCCCTTAATTCACCCCTCAATCCATCACCTTCGCAAGATGCCACCCCTGGGTGTTGCTGCATCCCAGATTTTGGGGGAAGCAGTAAACCTTCATCAGGTTTTCCCCCTTCTTGCCATCCCACTAGCCCCATGGCACCCCAGGAGAAGGAGGAGGGAGACAATCAGCTGGGCTCATGGGAAGAGTTTATTTGCAGTGAGATGCTCCTGTGCACGCTCAGGACCAGGCACTGTGAGCATTCCCCCCTCCTGCAGTGGGAAGGGACAAGCCAGTGCCCTGCTGCCCCTTGCTGCTGTGGCTGGGTTGGCGCAGGCACACCTCAGTGGGCGTGTGTGTGTGAAGGGAAATCTTTGTCCCCAGACTCACTGATTTTTTGTTCAGGGGATACTTAAAATATATATATCTCTCTATCTCCAGCAATCAGCCGGACACAAAAATCAGTGTACTGCAAATGTCATGCAATGCCGGGCATTGCAGGTCAATTTAATCCACTTCATTTCTTTAACTGGCGACCGGGAGGGGAAAAAAAATAACAAAAAGCCACCCCAGTTTGAAGAGGGACCAGCAAAGGACTGGGCTTGCCAAAAGCCAACAAGACCTGTGGTGTGAGACTGCTGGCAGCCAGGACCGGGGGACCAGCGTTTGGGAAACCATCCCAGCCCATGGGGACGGATCCACGTTGCAGGATCCGGGCTTTA